AGCATATTTGTCATTTTTTGACAGTTTAATTTTGCTTGAATAACAAACCAGGTTAGAATTAAAGTCAGAGGATTGTTTACCCCCCTCCCAATCTCTGCTTGGATAGTTTGTGGACTATTTATCTGGTGGAGCAATATATGGGGCATTTATTTAAAGTCATTAAAACGACAAGGTGAAAGGTAATGGGGGGCATTAAAATGCAAAATGGCTGCTAATCAATATTTTAGAACTAGCCTTCATAGCAATAGATATTTTGCCCAGTTTGCAACACAGATTGCACAGGAGCAGTACCCTGGCACCACAATACATCGGAGTGGCTATTACAATTAGCTATTGACTTTGTATCCAATCAGCCCTTTTAAAAGTGACTTTAAATAAGGACGGTGTTTGCTTTTTAAGACAGCAGGGGAATTTTTAAGAAATTAATTAGAGGAGAGACGAGGGTTTTACTTGCTATTCTTTGACGACATTGCACGGGCTATCATCACGCACAGGCAAAACAGAGACAGCAGGTATATAAAGCTTCGGTCACAACCCGACGTACGTGCTTCTGCGTGCTACGTGCAAAAACGTGGGCAAACGCAGGGCATCCGTGCGTGGTGAGTACCGCTTCCGTGCGGAATCCTACGGATTTGGGAGCACGCAGACACGCTGTAGAACTTTAAGTGCATGTAAAACTTTTTTTCTGTGTGCGGTCTACGGATTCACCACCCGTACGTGCGAGTACAGGCGACGCGCGTTCTCCGTACGTACCATACGAAAGACGCATGTGTGTGTGAGTACGGCCTCCTTACGGTAAAGTCGCAATCGCACAGAGATCGTACGTTGTAAGCACGTTCAACTCACTTACCACTTGCGCAACGTACGATGCACGCAACCGCTCACAGTCAGACGTGGCGTGCAGACCAAACTCTAACACCTTGCGAAACCGTGTGAGTGACGTGCGAGTGACTTGCAGAAAAAACGTAGCCTGCCAAAAAACGTACGGACAAAAAGCACGCACGGCGGGTTGACCGAGGCTTTAAGGTGAAGGATACCAATCAAGCGTCCGATTTGACCGCGTTTACCCGCGTTCTCCCTCACTCAGTTCACACGCAAGCGACGCGATGTTTGTCTGCAACACCGTCATGACCTACGATTGTGAAATGTCAACTTTGCCAGATTTGAAAAGGATGGATGCTCAGATATTATCGTACCATTCGGAGTCAGTATGGCAGAATAAGAGAGTTAGCCACGCTAAATCCACTATTGTATTTGGTTAAATGCGGCGTGGTGCGAGCAGATCATAATCAGAACATTAGCTGGGAAGGACAAAAACACATTATATACAGGCTAGTTCTCTGGCGCCAGGGCCAACAAACTGCCTTTGTCTCATCCACAGCGTACTTGTTGTCCCGAGCCAAACTCAGGGGCTGGTCTCTGTTTAAGCCGTTGCATGCTGGCATGACAACAGTCATGCTAAAATGCAAACAAAAATATATATATATAAGAATTAGATTTGTTACGTGCGTACAAGCAAGCATTCCCAAGAAGACCACTCAGGGAACATCTAAAATTCGGACTATGTGGAGAGGTTGTCAGAATGTACAGGATTTAATCGACCTTGACCTTGAATTTCTTTTCATTCACACGACAAAACTAGACAATATATAAAACATGGCCAAATATCCTCTCAAATCTAAACGGTTGATGAGATGTTGCCAACTTTGCACTTCGACACCTGCCATAGGGCTTGTCCCCGTACAGGGCCCATACGCAGGGGACATTTTGTGGTCTCACTGTTTGGTCACATATGCTATTCTTGCCGTGTCTTTCTTATAAATGGAGTTCATTAGTACATACTTTATCGGTCTAAATTACTTGGAGTTACTGTAAGCCTTTTTTTACGGCAGAAGGGGGGGTGAGCGCCAACGGAACTGTGTTTAGTAGTTATGCATATGAGGTAAAGGTACATGTACTTTATATTTTAAAGTATGATCATTAGCATCTTTAGATTACTCCGTTAAATTAAGTAAGGCAAGGGAGTGGCCACCTTTCTTGTTATTGTTCTAGCTTAGCTTGGAAGAAATCAGGCAAAATGAAATTAAGGATGGTCAGCTGGGACAAGAAAAAAGGTTCAATAGAAAAATTATCTCTCAACTTCCTATTGAGCGGTGTGAAAGGGCAAAAATGGTCATTAGAGCAACATAAATATGCTGCATAACAACGGATCTGGTGGTGCGGGTAATTCTTAATCTCAAACCTGTCAAATATGACTTTTTTTCTCGTTGATAATGACGCCCATTGCAAACACACCTCGTCACGTATGTGACCGTATTGGACATTGAACTGACACTGATTTCAATCAGCCTTTTGATTGACGATATTGAAATTTTTAGGACAGTGCTTCACTTAAAACGAATGAAACATCACTCGGTATGTCGTTATTTGACTTGTTGTGGACACACTATATTTTACAACACTATACCGTCACAATGGGCCCATCTATGCATGGTAAGAATGACTGAAAGTTGCATTTTGACGTTCCTTCTAAATCGTAAGATTAGATGCTTAATTACTAAGTACTGTAAAGACCACCAGATATTTGTCATTTTTTGACAGTTTAATTCTGCTTGAATGACCAGTTTAGAACTAAAGTCAGACGATTGTTTACCCCCCTCCCAATCTCTGCTTGGATAGTTTGTGGACTATTCATCTGGTGGAGCAATATATGGGGCATTTAAAGTCATTAAAACGACAAGGTGAAAGGTAATGGGGGGCATTAAAATGCGAAATGGCTGCTCATCAATATTTTAGAATTAGCCTTCATAGCAATAGATTTTTTTGCCCAGTTTGCAACACAGCGACATAATGTTGGCTGTCCCAATTGAATTACGTACTATAGTTTGACGTGCAAGAAATTACGTAGCTATACACAGGAGCAGTACCCTGGCACCACACTCGATTAGAGTGGCTATTACAATTAGCTATTAACTTTGTTTCTAATCAGCCCTTTCAAAAGTGACTTTAAATAAGGACGGTGTTTGCTGTTTAAGACAGCAAGGAATTTTTAAGAAATTAATTGGGGGAGAGACGAGGGTTTTACTTGCTAATCTTTGACGACATTGCACGGGCTATCATCACGCACAGGCAAAACAGAGACAGCAGGTATATAAAGCTTCGGTCACAACCCGCCGTACGTGCTTCTGCGTGCTGTCTATGTGCAAAAACGTGGGCAAACGCAGGGCATCCGTGCGTGGTGAGTACCGCTTCCGTACGGAATCCTACGGATTTGGGAGCGCGCAGACACGCTGTAAAACTTTAAGTGCATGTAAAACTTTTTTCTGTGTGCGGTCTACGGATTCACCACCCGTGCGTGCGAGTACGGGCGACGCACGTTCTACGTACGTACCGTACGAAAGACGCATGTGTGTGTGAGTACGGCCTCCTTACGGTAAAGTTGCAATCGCACAAAGATCGTACGTTGTAAGCACGTACAACTCACTTACCACTTGCGCAACGTACGATGCACGCAACCGCTCACAGTCAGACGTGGCGTGCAGACCACACTCTTACACCTTGCGAAACCGTGCGAGTGACGTGCGAGTGACTTGCATCGATGCCACTCCTTCCCCACGTTTTCAGAAAAAACGTAGCAGATGTAGCCTACCAAAAAACGTACGGACAAAAAGCACGCACGGCGGGTTGACCGAGGCTTTAAGGTGAAGGATACCAATCAAGCGTCCGATTTGACCGCGTTTACCCGCGTTCTCCCTCACTCAGTTCACACGCAAGCGACGCGATGTTTGTCTGCAACACCGTCATGACCTACGATTGTGAAATGTCAACTTTGCCAGATTTGAAAAGGATGGATGCTCAGATATTATCGTACCATTCGGAGTCAGTATGGCAGAATAAGAGAGTTAGCCACGCTAAATCCACTATTGTATTTGGTTGAATACGGCGTGGTGCGAGCAGATCATAATCAGAACATTAGCTGGGAAGGACAAAAACACATTATATACAGGCTAGTTCTCTGGCGCCAGGGCCAACAAACTGCCTTTGTCTCATCCACAGCGTACTTGTTGTCCCGAGCCAAACTCAGGGGCTGGTCTCTGTTTTAGCCGTTGCATGCTGGCATGACAACAGTCATGCTAACATGCAAAAAATATAGATATACAAGAATATATAAGACTTGTACTTCCCCCTGTACTGCAACCTTGTCGTGGTGGGGAGGCTTGAGAACCCCAATGACCCTGTGGGCTATACCGGCGGGGACTCACAATCTCCGGCAGGTTCAACCATGCCGGGCAGGCTACAGGTGAGAGGTCAGACCAAAGGCAGTACACAACGGAGGGAGGGACCCGCAGGCAGTCGTTGGTGCGGAGTGATCCACAGCCATCTTCTGGCATCCCCTGCAGCTCTAGGGATGCTTCGGACGTATAGACCTCGTCTCTCCTTCGGAGCAGGTTCTTAGAGTCGAGAGGGAGACGGTGCGCTTTGGGCAAGGCATCGTTTCCAAGTACGCCCCGGCACAGCAGAGGTCCGTTAATCTCAGCGGGAAAGGGCAGTCTACGGGTTATAAGTTCTCCTAAATTGGCGTATGGGAGGACGCCACGGGCCGCTTTCTGACGGTGGGAGCGGCTGTTTAGCTGCATAGGATGCGACTACCGCCCGCCAAAGCCTGGCAGCCCCAGGCCAGTAAGGTGTCGACCCGCCACATCTGCTATCCTTATAGGGTGCGTGAGGATAGACCAAAAGTCGAAGGGCAGATGTAATGCTGTACCCGATACTAAAAACAGAAAGAAGTACTTACGTGTTGGGACATGGAATGTGAGAACTATGTTACCTGGATTTGACAATGTAGATATAAGACACGGGGAATTGAGAAAGACTGCACTTATTGACTTCAGAAACTACAAATGGATATTGTGGCTCTCCAAGAAACAAGGATAGCTGGGAGTGGGTGTTTAAGGGAGGCAAACTTTACTTTCTACTGGAGGGGTTTGGAAGCAGATCAACCGCGGTGGCATGGTGTAGGCTTTGCTGTAAAAAATACCCTTCTTCAATCCATAACTTCACCTGTTGGAATCTCGGAACGCCTAATGTTGATGAGGCTCAATACGGCTGGAGGCTACGTCAACCTCATTAATGCATATGCACCAACCTTAGCTGCATCTATGGAACTGAAAGATAGCTTCTATGGAATGCTTGGACAGGCTTTTCAGTTCGATCCCACATGGAGAGCAGCTGTACCTTTTGGGTGACTTTAATGCACGGGTAGGCAGAGACCACGACATCTGGCCTACATCACTCGGTCACTTCGGTGTTGGGAAGATGAACGAGAACGGACAGAGGCTTCTGGAGTTTTGCTCAGAGAGGAATCTCGTCATTACCAACACGATGTTTGGAGTGAAAGAATGCCGGAGAGTGTCATGGTGCCACCCAAGGTCCAAGCACTGGCATCAACTAGACCTGGTAATCACCCGCAAGCAACATCTGAACAATGTGAAGGTAACCCGCTCCTTCCACAGTGCGGACTGTGACAGTGATCACTCACTGGTAGCCAGTAGAGTGGAGGTCACACACAAGCGCATCCATAGGCGGAGACCTGAGGCCAGGCCCAGAGTCAACGCCAAGGTGGCCAGGGAGCCAGAGAGCAAGGAAATCTTCTCCAGGGAGTTTTCTCGCAGGATGCAAGAGTGTGCGGCTGGCGGCACAGTGGACCAAGTATGGCATACACTGAGTAAGAGCATATACGACAGCGCAGTTGCCAGTTGTGGTGTTAAACGACACGAGGGCAAGGACTGGGTTGAGGCGTACGCTGGTCTTCTCATGCCCTTACTTGACGCCAAAAAGTCTGCAATGCTTGAACACAAAACAAACCCATCGCAAGCAACACTGGATCGCCTCCGACATGCAAGATCAGAAGCACAGAGGGAAGCTAGGAGGTGTGCAAACCAGTACTGGACAGAGTTATGCACATCCATCCAAACTGCTTCTGATGTGGGAGACGCAGGCACGATGTACAGCCTCATGAAAGTAGCTCTTGGACCTAGAGTCTCAAAAACAGCGCCTCTTAAGACGAAGGAGGGAGAAGCAATTACAGACAAAACAAAACAACTAGACAGATGGGTCGAACACTACTCTGAGTTGTACTCAAAGGAAATAGCTGAGAAACCTAGACTGGAGGAGGTCCTACCAGCATACCCAGAACTAGCAGAGTTAGATGCCATGCCTGAGGAGAGTGAACTTCTAGAAGCTCTGAGTGCTCTACCCAGTGGCAAGGCACCTGGTCAGGATGGCATACCGGCAGAGGTCCTGAAGGAGAACAGAGAAGTCATACTGCCCTACTTGTACAAACTTCTCCGACAGTGTTGGGAGGAAGGCAAAGTCCCAAATGAAATGTGCAATGCCAAGATCGTGACCCTCTATAAGAACAAAGGTGACCGAGGGGACTGTAACAACTTCAGAGGGATTTCACTGCTGAGCATTACTGGCAAAGCTATTGCACGTATAGTACGCAAGCGCCTACAGACGCTAGCAGAACGGGTGCTACCGGAATCCCAGTGTGGTTTTAGAGCAGGACGGTCCACCACGGACATGATCTTCACCTTGCGACAACTGCAGGAGAAGTGTAGGGAGCAGTGTATGCCTCTCTACATCGCCTTCGTCGACCTGACCAAGGCTTTCGACACGGTGTGTAGACCTGCCCTCTACAAAGTACTCAAGAGCGTGGGATGTCCACCCAAACTCCTACGATTGGTCGTCTCTTTCCACGAGGACATGAAAGCCTGTGTCCAGTTCGATGGTGCAACATCTGACTCCTTTGACATCAAGAACGGAGTCAAGCAAGGGTGCGTGATGGCGCCGACCCTCTTCAGCATTTACTTTGCTGTACTCCTCCGTTACGCCTTTAAGGGAAACCAGGATGGTGTGTACATAAGGTCACGCACAGACGGCTCACTGTTCAACCTGGCAAGACTCAGGGCAAGAAGCAAAACCGTTGAGTCGTTGTGCAGAGAGCTCCTTTTCGCTGATGATGCAGCACTCACAGCTCATAAGGAGTCTGCTCTGCAGGGACTGTTGGACAGCTTGGCCCGGGCCTGTGACCTTTTTTGCCTTACCATCAGTGTCAAGAAAACGGAGGTAATGGGGCAAGGTACTCCCGTCCCACCTTTGATTACACTGCACGGAAATCCCCTCCGAACAGTTGACAGGTTCACTTACCTGGGATCAGTGATGACAAGTACCCACTCTTTGGACGAGGAAATAAATGTAAGGATCGGCAGAGCTGCTGCTTCTTTTGGAAAACTAAGTAAAAGAGTGTGGGAAAATCAAAAACTGACAAAAAAGACAAAAGTACTGGTCTACAACACATGTGTACTGTCGACTCTACTATATGGCAGCGAAGCTTGGACAGTGTACTCGCGACAAGAAAAAAGACTCAACAGTTTCCACCTACGCTGCTTGCGGAAGATCTTAAACATAAAATGGCAGGACAAAATCACAAATGAGCTAGTTCTCCAGCAAGCAGGATCACTGTCCTTGTTTGAGATCCTGCGGCGAAACAGGTTGCGCTGGCTAGGCCACGTGGCCAGGATGGACGACAACAGGCTTCCCAAGAAAATACTGTACGGCGAACTCTCTCAAGGGAGTCGACCAAGGGGAAGGCCTAAGCTCAGGTTTAAGGATTTGTGCAAAGCTACTCTCCAAGACTTCTCCATTGAATCTTGGGAGAAGGCAGCAAGCGACAGAAGTAAGTGGAGAGCAGCGATACACAAAGGGACAGGACTGTTCAAAGCTGCTAGAGAGAGCAAGAAAGGAGAAGCTAGGAGCAGGCGAAAAGGACCTATAGAGAAGAGCACCACACGGGAGTACTGTTGCCGATTCTGCGGCAGAGCCTGCAGGGCCAGAATCGGCTGTACCAGCCATGAGAGGCGCTGCCCGGCCAGACCCGTAGAGAGTAACTGAAGCTGTAGACCGTCTGACAAGACGGCAAGGGCCCAAGACTGTTCAATAGTTTGACCTTATCAGATCATTTCTATACAGCTCCCTATTGTGTGCCGGCGCGCGAGCGGCTCTGGTGGTAGTCGGCACTACATAGAGATGCGCCCCGCCAGCACGCGAGCGGTACGGGCGGTTGGCGGCACTGCATAAGGCTTATGATTGTCAAGGACCCAGCCTGAATTGTGTTCTAAAAAGTCTTGATGGGGCCCAGGGTGTTACCTTGCTTAACGTTTAGGTATTCCCTGACTCACTTTATTTCTGCTTGAGAATTTAGTTTACGCATTATAAATGAACCGCCGCTGACCCGAACACAGTTTCTGACTGGATAGCGTGACCCAAGGCCGCGCGGCGCCATGTTGTTACCTTCGCCAAGGTTACTCGTATGTTTTAAGAGGCGTTCGTGTATGTGTGTGTGTGTGTGTGTGTGTGTGTGTCCGTCTGTAGACACGATAACTTGAGAAGGCTTACATTGATTGTTTTAATACTCAGTAGGTGGGTACGTCTTAATGAAATCTAAAAATGAGTAGATTTTGGACCCCCTAGCGGCTTGTTATGGTACTGCAGCTGAACTTACGTTTTTCATATCTCATGATCTAGATTTGCTAGGGTGGCGAAATTTTAATGGAAGGAAGCTCTTGGGAGCTATGGTCTTGACTTTTTAGTAACAAATAACTTGTCCTGTCAGAAATAAGTGGTGTGGGTTTGGTCCCCCTAGCAGCTTGTTCTGGAACTGCATGGGACTTTCTGGCGAAATGTTTACACACACACGAACACACAAACACACAAACGCCCCTGAAAACATAACCTTCTTGGAGAAGGCAAAAATCGCTATTGTAAAACTATCAATAGCAGCAAAGGCAGCATATACATTTATAGTTCCTTCTGACACCAGGCATTGATGAAAAGACTAGATGCTACTTTCCGTAAGTGTGTATACCGTAAAAATGAATAAATGAGATGATCATGATCTACCTGCAAGTTGTCCCATCGTGCGCTTGACCAGACTTGGCGGGACCTCGTGTGCAGTCCTCCCGCCGGCGTTGATTTATACGCTGCGGTGAGTTTTGTCCACAACCGTTTAATCTTTTTTTACCTCGTGCATTTGTGCAAGACTGCAAGGATTTGCACGGCAGTAGTAAATCAGTCCACGACGTGGTGGTTTATCTAAACTCCTTCAGTGTAAAATTCCCACAGGACGTTAAACTCCTGCCGGGAGCCTAGTTGAACTGGGCGGTGAAGATAGACTGTAGACCCGACGGCAGCCCGCCCAGACCACGCTAGTATGGGCATCGGGCTATCAGACCGCATTGTAAACCAGCTGTCACGTACGCAAAATAACAGGTATTTTGAGTTGTAGCGTTGAGTAAGTAGCCACGACTCCATGCGGAATATGTGAAAACCGCAGCGCGTACAGGTTAAGAATCATCAAATTACACTTTACCATGGTATAACGTTACTATCAACGCCAACGGTCACTCATTTTAATTAGCCAATCAATATTAAGCTATTGACAGATTCCGTAATGACTTTACTGTACATGTCGCGACAACGTAGCCTGTTGTTGATTTACAAGGGTGTAAGTATTTCCTGTTAGGCCATGTTGATTTGATTATATGGATGGCATCCGCGCGCGCATGAATTTTCGGCGGTTTCCGAAAAAAAATTCCAACCACACTGTAAATCGTACAAAACAGTTGCAAAATGAGCAAAAATATACCATAGTTACAAAAAAAATTAATAAAAACTATACCAATGTCGTAGAATGCCAAAATCAAATTAAAAAAGACGAAATGGTAAAGAAATGAACTTGAAGACTAGATTATTCGCCAAACCATATTCTGTGCCATTTGCTCAACCCTCATGACCACGTAGATTTCATAATGAAAAGAACTTTTTTTTTTTGCAAAACTTTTTTTTATTCGCACGCGCGCATCAGTTTTGGGGCTCCCGGAGGATGTCATTCATATAATCAAATCAACATGGCCTTATCCCTTATTAAGTTTAAAAGGATTTCTTATTCAAGATATTGGATTCAAACTGGAAGCTTTTAATATGAAGAACTTCTTTATTACGTTGTTCCTTTTACCATGTCATAGCAGATTGTATATTGTATTTGCAGTCTCTGTTGTGCATGTGGGTCTTTAAATTTTTCATTGATTGTTTACCGTAGTAGACAGCTTAAGACAATATAATGGAATAAAAGAATGTCATAATGACACCAAAATCCTTGTTATCAATCAGTTTTACATGTACACCGATAATGAATACGTGGTGTAATTAAATTAATGAGTCATATATACACTAAATCATATCAGCTCACTATATAATGATTAAATTAAGAAACCATACAAGTACACATTCTAGTACACGTCATTTCTCACATAAAGTTCAGCACATTTCTCACATAAAGTTCAGCACATAAACTTTACAGTATTTTCCTAGTCTTCTATGCTACCATGTAAAGCTTTTAATTAATTCATAGGAAAAAGCATAACTTATCTTTTTTCTTGGATATTTATTTATTCATTCATTTTAAATGCAAACAACACATTACACAGACTTACAGGCAGCAAAAGCTGATAAACGTAAGTCTATATAGATGATAACAAGTACATTACATATATATACACAGCTACAACATACGGGACATCAGATAACAATATATTTTTAGCTTATATATAAGCTAAAAAATACACCAGCTGAACAATTTTAAATCAGTATCACACAAGTCAACTAAATAAGGTAAGTAATTATAACTGCATGCATGTTGCGTTGGCGTCAAAGGTCAAGAATTTGGAAAAAATATATTATACATATGAGTATACTGAAAACTGAAATAAATCAAAGTAGTCAACTGAAATCTATCAGCAATTAAGGCTAAGAGGAACAGGAATAAATGACACGTTATAGTACATAAAACGTCCCAGGGTATGTATTTGAGCAAAACGCTTAAAGCAAGTCTCTAGTTATTTCAATTATTGAAAATTGCAAATGTAAGCTTTAATGATTGAATAAATAACTACATGCAACAATTCAAACTGTGCTACTTACAGTAAACGCTTTATATACCACAACTTAATTGTATAATCCATCAATAGTGTTTAACTCGGTAAATCAATAAATGATATATATATATATATATATACTAACTATTTGCCGATTTGAATATTTATTGGCCCATAGCACAGACACACGGCATTACACAAACACATCGAAAACAAAACATCTAGGTGGGTACAAGTAGATAAAAGACTGTCGAGCCCTTACGATGGGCGGACCAGTCTACAGTAATGGCTCCAGAATGGACTAGAGCAGAAGGTCTCCGAGCGGAGCAGCAGTTTGACAATTGCGTTCTCAGACGTAAACAGACGAGAAGCAAAGGAGTACAACAACTTCTAGTGCCTGGCATCAAACGTGTCAATACGCGTTTGTACAAATAGGTCGCTGTTACTAGTCCTCCTAGGCTGAGACAGTAGGATTTTAGGACCATCGTGATGAGCAACTCGTAGCCTATGAATGTTTCCTGCTCTGTAGTTGGACCAAAGCTGAGCACAATACATTGCACTGCAGTGAGCTATGAACAGAGTGCGTTTCACCGCATGAGAACACTGACCAAATTTGCGGATAAGTGAATTAGCTTTTGTGTACATATGCCTGGTTTGTTTACGAATAGAGTCGTCATCAGAGAGGTCGGGAGTGATTTGGAAGCCGAGGTAGGTGGCCGAAGAGACGTACGGTAAGGGTTTGCCGTACAGTTTCACTACGGGTGGCATTCCGTTCAGAGCAATTCGATCACATGGAAAGTACATACAATTTGTTTTTTTGGCACAGAAAATCATGTTACTATCGGTAGCAAAGGCCTCAGACGTTAATCAGTTTCTGTACAGCTTTTGCTGAGGGGCAGATTAAACACAAGCCATCTGCGTAGAATAGTCCTTTTACTATATGTTTTCAGTTCAGTAATGACCGGGGCTACTACAAATGGCCTTGCTGGCAAAAATCAAAATGTTGACCTTTTTTTTAAGTTATGTTTAATTACATGTAGACGCTTGATGCATGAATTTCGACTTCCTAACATAGCGGCAGGTTACTTTTTTTTACACTTCATCGGCCCTCCAAGCTTTGTAGATGGGTAACTTTGTCAGCCGCGGCAAACCAAACTGATTCGGCATGGAAGTGTTTGTCTGTCAGCACATCGTCACTAAGGAGTAAAGCCTTGTCTTCAGCGGTGAGCTTTAGATAGGAGATCTACGCACGTGTTTCCTGATGGCTGTTATTTTACATTTTGTAGTGTGTCAACTGTTAAATTTTGCACAGTTGATTTAGTTGTCGCACAAATTACCCTTACAAGGATGTTCTTAATTTGCCTCTGCACCCCACATCTCATTTAATAGTTAATGCTCAGTTTTTTTTCTGACTTTTCTCTTCCTGCTCATATTCTTGCTCAAGGATTTGGATTTCAGTGTCTATATCAAAAGCATCATCATCAGTATTAGTTCGTTTTTGGTTGCTGTTGTTATTATTTCCCATGCCCGTGGTACCTTGGTGACTTTCTTCGACAATCGTTGGTAATTTCTTATCTTTCCGAGTAATTTTGTCAGGAATCACATCTTTCCGTGAAGGCAGGATGGAGTTACAGATGTCCAGTCCTTCATCAAGTTTCTCCTGAATAATGAATATGTTGGCCTCCAGTCCTTTCATGTTTGGCTCATCTTTAAAAAAAGTTACGAACTTGTTTACCATTAGTGAATCAACATAAGGATCTTAATTTAAAACCTAATCCCTGTAATAAATGTAACTTCGAACAATTTAAGGTATTGTCATGATTTCGTATTGATTTACTAGTATAATGTGCCCACTCGAAGAAGTAAGGAACTTCAGTTGATAATGTGGAAATGTTGTTTTTGGTTGCATCAGACTGGGGGAGGGGCTTAAATAGTTTGTCCTCAGCAGCAAGGGTTGAAGGTAAATGTGCGGATATTGTGTTTCATTTAACTGACAGGGTTGCAATCTCGTCTACAAGGTATTGTAGATATAGAATACTACACGATTTACTTAGTATCGCCCGAGGTCCCAGCCCGACCTCGGGTAGGATCGCCCGAAGGCCGGAGGGAAATTCGACCAGCTGAAGGGCTGTTAGGGCAGTTAGGGCAAAACGCATTCAAATCGTTCTATGGAAATCCAGGACGTTTTGAATAGTACGTTCCGAGCCGGAGCACCGTTATCGAAAGTTTTGACCGCGCGGGTATGATATTTAAAAAAAAAAGTTTTAGAGTCTGTGGGAATATTTGATATTGCCACTGATTGGTTTGGTTGAACTTACCTGGTTTATTCTCCTTATCTGGCGTGCTGTGAAACCCCAACATAGCCCTGAAGCTCTTCCAGATGTACTCTCCAAGCTCTTGGTCATGTGTAACGTAAACGTCAGCGGAAATGGCGTCACACACTATGGTCATGAGGAAGTTCATCAGGAGGATGAAGATGCAGATCATGAAGGAAGAGAAGAAGATTGGCCCGGTGACAGGGTTGGAATCCAAAATGTCTTGGGCGAAGAAACTAGAATCAAAAGTTATAGCGATTTATGTTAGGCAATGTACGCCAAAGAACTACCTGGTTATGTGTTAAGCGATGTAATTAATCATTATATAAGCCTTAGTAAAACTAACCTGCCAAGCATCATCTCGAAGAGTGCAAACGTTGTGTGGTACAGGTCTGCGTAAGACTCCATGTGGATTCCGAATATGAGGTGTGCTGAAGCCAGGGACAGGCAAAAATAGGAGTCACTATCAAACATCGTACAACGTGAACTAACGGCAACGTTTGAATGAAAATTGTAGTTTAACCTGCAGTCCACATTGCAATAGTGTATTGGTCGACATATATGTAAATTAGACATGACCTGACCGTTTCCGAAATCATATCCAGTTGCTTGAGGTACTTTTTTTTCCAATTGTGGATTGCTTAACGTTCATAAAAGCTGTACTAAATACTTACCTGAGCTGATGAAGGCGATAAAGGCGATGGCAGCAACAACCAAGAACGACAAGAGCTCCTCCTTCATGATGCCGGGAAGAGCCAGGAGTTTGCCGATTGTTTGACTGAAGCGGACGACGCGAAGTAGGGATATGGTGTTGATGAAGACAACAAGGCCCAAGATGTGTTTAAAACAAGCATCCCACCATGCAGCAGTTTGCAGGTCGACAAAGCGTTCAAACCCCAGGTCACCTAGGAAATAAATCAGAGCCTTAAAGTTTCTTAAACCAAAGTCAGCAATTAACAAATAATTGAATGTAATGTATCATTTGAATGTAACAAAATGAACATTCCTTTTTACTAAGTATTTTGTTTTGTGCGGAATGAGTTGTTCGATAACGATAGTCATAGGCTATCCAACTGCTAGCGACATGTTAACGTACCGTTACTTTTTGCGACCACTGCAAGTGTTTCCGATGCCACCACATATCGCTTGATGAAGACGGAGATTGTTGTGGCAGTACCGATGAGGCTAACACATCCGAGGGCATTCCATTTTGACGTGAAATACTTCCATCCCACCTTTATCATTACTTTCAGTTCGTTACAAAATATGGCGAAGAACAGTAGTGTGAATAGGATGTGCATGAACAAGTCGACATAGTCAGCATCACTTTCGTACTGAAACAATCTAAATGAAGTGATTGTTGCTGTTGGTACGAGATGCCCTACTTCGGAACGATTTATGATCATGTTCACAACACTGAACAGCTTTAGGCTGGGATTGTACAGGTTCACGGTGATTGTCAGGGATTTTGTGTACTTGTCGAAAAACTGGTTGTCTTTCAAGAAACCAAAGAATGATACAGCGGAGTCATGAACCAGGGGAACGCCAAACGAATGATGATTTGTGCATTCGAATGTGTTATTTTGATGAGGTAACACGTCTGTGACATTAAATCGCCAACAGTTACCAGACACGCTCCAGCCGATGCCATCGACAGACTTGGAACCTGCAGCGATGGACATTATATACCAAGTTTTATTTGTGGACTTTAACAAAATCTGCCCATTATGATGTTAACATAATTTCAAACATCTTAATTTAAAGGAAGAAGAAGTAATTTGTCCAGACGTACCTGGAAGTTGTCTAACTTGTGTCAGACGTGGAGGACCGAGGCGGAAGGATCCCGTGTTGTGTGCAAACTGTCGGTCTAAGTACTTCATGTCCCTTCCGTTGTACCAGGTAGCTGGGTAAAGGGTCGGCAGCAGGACGTCCTCAGTCCACGCGTAGAACTGGTCCGGAGTTTTAATCTATAGGCAAAATTTATATTTATTATTTGTACATTATTATCAGGACCTGTTTAGCGCACTGCGACAACAGCCAGGTTTCGAATTCCCAACATCTTGCTAATTGCAAATTACTGGACTACGCTGAATAGGTTGACCATGTAGCTGTTAGTACATTTGCGTCTATACTAGATGAACAGTATTCCTTACATCCACAACTTACCGCATCATATTCTTGCAGAATGTTGTTCGCCAATGACTGTGTCTCATCAAAGGCATGTTGGTCTTTATCCGCCTGGGCGATGTAGAAGAGGAGCACCACGAAGATAAACAGGAGAATAAACTCCTTCAGTACTGAGGCTGACTTCTCATTCAGTTCCTTCTTCTTCTTCCTTATCGATTTTACATCAGAAATGGCAGTTGGATAGACCTTCTTTGGTGCTGTAGAGTCAAAGAAATAATTTCATGAAAATCTGGCATAAGCAAAGAAAACACATTATTGAGGTTGATGAAACTGTAGGAAGTAAAACCAAACTTCTATACATAATTTGCATTGTATTTAGTACAATTAGGTGTTACATCATAGTGTAATACATAAAATAAATATTTCATTTGGCTGTGAAAGACAAGAAGTATTTAAAGTGAAGACGACATATTGAGAGAAATCAGCCACAGGGGTTCAAGAATTAAAGTTTTAAATTTCTTACCTGTAGAGTTCCATAGGTTCAGCTGCAGGTCTTCCTTCAGAATAACTTGCGGCTTGGTGAGGAACGGGAGACTAAAGATGGCAGCCAGGCCCACAGCAAGGACAAAGATCTACGGGGAATACAGTTAAATATTTATATTATGCGGTTTGCATGGATATGGTTTCGTTCGTGTTTAATGATGGTATATTACCATATTTGATTCTCGTTGCAGTTTTAAGCCTGGATCTTTTTTAATTTAGTCTGTTTAGGAATTTTAAAAAAATCATTACAACGTAATCAACGTAAATACAATCTTTGTTATCGTTATCATTCCAAACCATTTTTATTTATTGCTTTTCAACCAGTTTCTTGTTAATTCAAAAGACGTTCTCAGCACTATAGGAGTAAAAAGAAGACGTGGCGAGTATCATCTATATCGGTAAAAAGAATAACCTCTTCTACATCATAAGCCTAAAGCTTGTCCCTACTATGTTTAATATTAATAAGTACGTGTCACCTGGAGAGTGTCCATTACACAACTGGACCCCATGAAGGACAGAACAAATGCCTTCATCCAGGCGTCACTTTTCTCCTTCCCCCAATCCATACTGTACAGGAGGACGAAGAACTTGGAGCTAGTGGACACCAGGAACACGGTCACCCACGCCACGTACTTTGCCAGGCGAAAGAAAGTTCTCTTCCAATATCCTAATAGTCAACATAATGTTTACAAGATAAATGTGATAAATGGGGTATACTGTGAACTACATTGTTGGCTCTACAAGTTAAATTTGTATAAATGTTATTATTAACAGTATTGCTTGTTAGTTGTTATTTACTTGTAACAACCACTGATCTCCCCACGTTACCCATATTCACGTACTATCAGTAAGCGTTCGGGATGTTATAATCGTTTTAAAAAAAATTATCACTGGGCTTGTTTATAATGACAATGAAGTTACATACAATAACACTGGATTTTTTAAAAGTAAAATCATACAGTTGTAAAAAAAACTAACATAAAGTAGCGTTCACGTGATGAAAATGAATAAAAAAAATTATAGTTTTGCTATCACTGATCCATTCTCATACCTTTCTTGGACGGGCGGATGGACATCTCCGGAGTGTTAACGGACAGTGGCGCCTCCATGCGGAACAACTGCAGAAGTACCAAATTGACTGGCAGCACGGTCAGGACAGCCATGAGACTGATGTACAGCTCCTATCAAAATGAAATTTTACATAGTAAAGCTCTTAAACCAGATTACATAAAATAGAACATTTACTAACCTGTGATAGCAATTTAGCTGAGTATGATTTCTGCATCTAAGAACTATATATGTTTATGCATATATATGTATATGCATATGCAACTATGGTGATTTTTTACATAATGCCAAAATATAACCTCAACCAAGTAGTATTATTACCTGCATGGTGAAACGAACAAACCCCAGGTTCAACACTCTGGTGTCGGCAGTTGTGTTTTCTGCCTTGTACCACATGGCGCTGGATAGCATCATGGTGTTCAGTAGAGTAAAGCAGCAGGACAGACGCTGGGCCTTGGTAAAGAGTGAACCTACTCCGGGCAAAAAAAACCCGTTAGAAATGTGTAATGCAAGTTTAATAGCTTTGTGTGAAATACATCACAATTAGTGTTTAGATTTTTACGAAAGAAAACTACACTGATGTTGATACCTTATGATTTAATATTAACATTTATTTTTGTATATGGATATCATAACAAGTTGCAATTCAAAACATCAAGATTGCATTCAGAAACAACATGGTATTGTGGCCTGCACACTCTGCTGCATGCCACATCTGGTACAAATTCTGCAGAACCTGGGTTCGCGCTCGTGTCTGGACATGACTGGAAACAATTCATCGTTCTTACGGATGGGAATATAGAGCATATTACCGAGCTTATGGCCAACGAAAACAGAGACCTGGTATGATTGTCTACCTTTAACTTCGAGCCTTAGTGAAGCCGATCTGCACCAGTAGCTATTTAAAAAATAGTTAAGGGTAAAAAAAGAAGCTTACCCAGTGCTGCTACAAGGGCAGACGTCCAGAGCTGTTTATCGTAGAACACGTCTCTGGTTGCCTCATTGAAGACATTGGTAAAGGATGTCAGCTCATCTTCGGTACTTGTGTGAATCACCTTCTGCACTTCACCGTCTCCCTTTTCTGTTGATAACCAGTCATTGCAGGTGAAGTACGATCTGAAATGCATTACATTTAATTTATAGATTCGTATATCAATTGTGTTATGCAACATGTCCTTTTCATGACAGATAAAAAAAGTAGTAGCTGCCAAAACAAACATGCCAGTTGGTTTTTATACAACGTCATGAAGGAAATGGTCAAGCTCACTCGTGTTGATGTTCACATTTGAAGAGGAGTTGTAAGTATTCAAAACAAGAACTGGTCGTACAAGGCATAGTGAATTCCACTAACCCAACATGCCAGGAGAGAATAAGAGACGGACTTGAGAATTGATTGTAGTGTAGAGAAGAAAACAAACTGGCAAAACATTTTTCATAAATATTTGTCGGCTTGTATATGTCTTTTTGCGTCTTACACCACGCCCGTTTCCATATCTCTGACGACAAAACTTCCGAGGAACCAGGATGCCGTGTCGCCTTCCCCAGAGTTATCATGCCAGATGTGCAACAACAGCACTTCTCCAAGTGACTCTCGCACAGGCATGACAAAATGTAAAGTACTTCCACGCAACAAAGCCTGTAATTATCAACGGTAAATGACATGGCTTTTTATTTCACCCTTAAGTTTACATAATTGCAATAATCCTATCAAGAATTTTGCACATAGATAACTCGGGACCAAGCTACATATAACATTTAAGCATATATAGCATATATATTGGCCTTGGCTAATCAGATGTCCAAAATATTTAAAAAAAACAGTATGAGGCATACATAAATATGTTTTATATCATATACACCAACAGGTCGTTAAATAATCGAATTAAAAGGAAATACCATAGACATCATTCGGCATTCTATCTTAAGTTATTATGGGTTCACCACACCACGAAGTGGTGTGGTGAAACCATATTGCTTTTTCTGATGTTTCTCCTTCTCCTGCCTATTTTTTTAAATGGATTCAGCTTCTTCATTTTAGGGCCCAAGGTCCTGAAATTTGGTATGGAGGTACAGTGGGCAAATACCCCTAGGCGTTTTTTAAATTTTTGTGATACAGGCTTTTAGAATGGTTTTATTTGAGTTTTTTGGCTGTGTTATAGCAAATGTATTACTGAGTTAGTGTGCCTTGTTTACCACGTTTGGGCATGAGTCATCACAATGGAATGCAGGGCATCAACCAATAGGTATGCAGCTTTCCTCTATACTTCTTGCTGATTGGCTGTTGGGATTTAACTTGATTAACACCTGCACAGAAGCATTTCCATACTGACAGTATGTCTGTATTCAAGTGTTTTGGTAGGTATTTCAAGCTTTCCTGCTCCAGCATTGGAATGCCGGGCATGGTACGTTTTTTTTTATTTTGAAAATCAACAGTTTGCATTATGCAATTAAAAATCCTAACCAATAAAGTAGGGAATAGCTATCCAACTGTTGTTTTAGTTGTATTTTACTTCATATTATAGTTATATCAATGTAAATCATTGTTTTCCCTTGTGTTTCCCATTCTTTCCCTGCCATGTCGTAAAATGTGGTGAACCCATCGCTGTATTTGCTCCAAAGCAAATATTGGCCTTTCTAGTTATTACTAATACTGCATTGATGGCATGACCTGTTTTAAGTTGCACAGTGTCCACATTTGTCAATAAAACAAAAAACGTCAATGACATATAAAGGTGTCACAAATACATTTGAATGAAAAAGGATATTGTAAGATGTAAGTTATGATACGAATAAAATCAAAGTTAAATCAATTAAAAAAAAATAACATAATACAGACCTCTCCTTTTGGGTTCAGCATCTTGACTGGGGATGTGGCCTCTGACCCGAAGAGTTGGAAGCCGATCCGTGAGGTAGTCCCTGCCCCGAACATGGACCCGGTGGTGACCGTGAGTTGATAGACATGACGTGCGACCATCCTGTCAGGAGGGACCAGACTCACTTTGCACAGCGGCTCACTTCGGTTCTTTGCTCCTCCACTCGCTCCGGTAATGGGACTTACCTGACGTGTGAATGGACGACGAAAGGCCTTCTAATGGTGTGTAGAATAAAATATTAGCGCCTTTCTTAATAAGGTACATCAATTTGGCTTTATCTATACAAAACATGACATTGATCAACAAAACAGCAAATTCATTTCCAGCGAAAAGCTAATTCAGCTGATCA